GGGGCTGAGTGCTGTCCCATGTGATTGGCCAGCAGTGAGGCAGGGGCCGGGTTGAGTGCTGTCCCATGTGATTGGCCAGCAGTGAGGCAGGGGCCGGGTTGAGTGCTGTCCCATGTGATTGGCCAGCAGTGAGGCAGGGGCCGGGTTGAGTGCTGTCCCATGTGATTGGCCAGCAGTGAGGCAGGGGCCGGGTTGAGTGCTGTCCCATGTGATTGGCCAGCGGTGAGGCAGGGGCGGGTCTCTGGGCCTGCAGGCTGATGGGCTGCATGGGGGACCCCAGGCCAATGCTCCCTGCAGGGAGGGCCGGGCACACCCGCCACCTCCGGCCGAACTGGGCACCGGACCCGGGCTGGTCGCCCACCTGTGTCACATCGCTCAGCTTCCCACGACGCTCCTGGGGGAGAGGAAACACCCGTGAGAGGCGGGACGGCCAAGCCCTGGCCCCTCCCCACCAGGAGGAGATGGAGGCCCTTTCTAGATGCTTCCATAGGAGGCTGGTCCCCCAGCAAGGCCCAGCCTGCCCCTGGGGAGGCCCCTGGCTGTGCTCCCGGGAGGCGGAGTCTGAGCCTCAGCTGCCTCCTGGGCCCCAGGGCAGCCTCGGGGACACGGGGAGAGCGGGCTGCTCGGTGGGGAGGGCAGCGAAGGGGCGTCTGCACCTCGGACCACAGTGGGGTGAGCCTGGGGGAGGGTGACTGTCTTGGTTCATGGGAGGAGTTACCAGTGGTTTGGATGTTCTGGGCACTTTTCTGAACATTTTGCAGGGAATATAGAGCAAGATTTTCTATTTCATCAATTCTCTATAAGCACGTGGAACATATTAATGTATAATGGTCACATGCCCATTTACAACAGGTATTATGTGTAGTTCAGGGCACATCTCATATAAAAGGCCCATGGCTGTCACACTGTAATGGCGTCACAACCAAACGAGCAGTGTTTCTTGTGGAGGGCGGGGCGCGAACTACTAGTGGCGGAGAGTTAGGATCAGCGGAGGGTGGGGGCAGGGAGCTAGGACGGCGATGGGTGGGGTGGCCAGCTGAGGCAAGCGGTAGTGAGCTACTCGTGCACGATTTCATGTGCACTGGGCCTCTGGGCTACACTAATAATAGGGAAACACACAAATTGACCACCCCTCCGCTACGCCCACCAGCCAATCAGGGCGAGTATGCAAATTAACCCAACAAAGATGGCAGCGGCCATGGAGCTGGAGGCTTGGGTTTCCCCCGGTGACGGAGGAAGCCAAGCTTCCTGCCGCCCTGGCCGCTGCTCAAGTAGGAGCTGGGGGCCTGGGTGGCCAGGGGGCGTGGCCAGCCTGAAAATGGCCCTCAGCCCCTCACCCAGGCTGGCCAGGCACCCCAGTAAGAACCCCCCACCCTGAAGGGGGTGTGGCCAGCTTGAAAACAGCCCTCAGCCCCTCACCCAGGCTGGCCACGGCCTCCAGTAGGGACCCTTAATCCATGGGGGCATGGCCGTCCTGCAAACCACCACAGGCCCCTCGCTCAGGCTGCCCCACGCCCCAAGGGAACCCCCACCCTGATCCAGGACACCCTTCAGGGCAAACCAGCGGGCCCCCACCTGTGCACCAGGCCTCTATACTAATAAAATGGTAATATGCTAATTAGACTGGGAGACCTTCCAGGAGACCTTCCGGA